CCAGGACTGCCGACCGAAGATGGGTCTGGCCGAGGGCCAGGGGCGAAGCGCAACGCTACTAATCGCATCGCACGTTCAAAATTATGTTACATAATTGTTTTGCACTAATCGATTCAGCATGAGGGTTGGCATTCTAACACTATGTAGGTTGGTCATGTTCGTACAAATTGCTGGCCCACTTTGATCAACAATCCGCGTTGTCGGGTCCTGAGCATCTTTGTAGAACACAGCAATATTCTGACAGAGCCCAGATTTGAGCCAAAACCCCCGAAAGCTCTCGGTTTAGAAAGAGCTCATTGAGCCATTAAAATGAAAGTACCACCCGTATTTCAGGCGGTCGTTCCGCGCCCTTCTCCTTCAGGTTATTCACATCAAAATGCAAATAGAACTGCATCTTCCGATAGCTTCTGGCTTTTGTTCCACTTAAAGAAAGTAAAGTGAAACTTAAACAAAGAAAATGGTGCTCCCTGGAAATCAAGTGAGCCATGCCTGGTGACTTTTTTGGGGGGAGGGGGCGGAGCTTTCGTCATCAGGGGACCACTCGTCAACCCTGCGTCCCCTCATCACGAGTCTGGCTGTGCCCCTGCGCCGGACATCCCAGCTAGTGACAAAAAAGCTATATTTTTTGTTTCAAACCATTGCTTAAATGCGCTTTTAATTAGGAGTACAAAGCATAAGTAACCAGACCAGTTCATGACATCGGGTTCTTATGACAAGTTCCTAGAGCTTATAATGCGGTTTTAAGGCCCTCGATCTAGAAACGCAGGCTTGCCATCCCAAAGGTTTGCTTTCTGTACACCAATGAGCTGCGAGCGCATTCCCGGAATTCGGTAATGAGGTCAACAGACCGGAAAGCGCTGTTTACGCACCTCTAGAAAAGCCTTTGTGCACGGTTGGTTCGAGGTGGCACATGCCAAGAGGAGCATCGCAGCAGAAATAGAGCCCAGTTTTTCTCATAGAATGTTTCCCCAGGCAAACAATGGGCATTGCCGCTCACGTTTTGGAGTCAAAATAGGAGTTTCGAAGTGGTGTAGTTGACCATGATGCGACAAAGAACAGATCAGATCAAACTAGTTATTGTTTGCTAGCCGAATGAGGCACCTGTGCTTTGCTCGATCGACCCGCATTGATGGGAATCGGCCATGCGTGTCAAGATGATGTTACAGGACGGCAAAGCCGGCTGAAAATAAACAAAATAAGCCACTTATAATTCGCCACGGTTATATTTAGGCCAGCTGAGCCGGGTTGCAAATGACTGGGCTGCGTGAGGAAGTCAAGCGTCTCATTAACGCTGACTATGTCGGATGTGCTCGAGACAGAGGTGAGTTCCGAATCGAGAGCGTCGCTCAGATTGCGTACGTCACGCCCGTTTTTAGTTCGGTTTCGCTGAAACACACGATCCAGTCGGGCTCTCATCCGAGGCCTGTCGTGAATGATTTGCAGCTTGTGGAGTCCTCATCCTCATCCGGTGGATCACATGACCGGACGATGACGCCCCTGTCATAGCAATGGTCCGCCATCTTGAGACGTTAACTTGCAAACAGCTTTGACGTCATCAGCCTACAGAAGGCGGACGGTTCACTGGCGAGTGGGGAGTCATCAGCAAAAGGGTGAGAGAGAAGCTGGGTTAAAAGATATAGCCCCAGGACGCCAGAACTCACCGGTTCCGGTAGCGGTAAAGTTGACAAGAGCCCCCTGGCGCCTATCCGACAGATACGAGACAAACCATTCCAACGCGATGTGGTAAAGATGAAGGGAATGATCGGTGTTTTCAATCACTGTTTCCAAACTGCTAAGAATGAACGTTGCTTTATCCTCAGCACACAAGACGAAGACGCGCGGCCTCTGCCCGCCGATGTGTGATCACGAAAAGTCATTGAAATACCACACATCACACGACTAAGTGCAATCCATTACCAAGAGGCGTATTGCCCGATCTCCGCGAGCGACTGCTTGTCGGCGTCTTGTCATGGAGACACAATGTAAATGGAGTGCAGAGTGCACGAGCCGCATAATTTCAACAGACGTCCCAATGATTCGCCACCTCCCGCCGGGGCACGCGGCGGACGACGCGTCTCCTCTTGTGTCGCCGGCCGCGTCATTGGCCGCCGACTCCCCAACACCAACAACTAATCACATTTAACGCGGATGTGTTGTCGGCTATAATCTGCGCCAAGTGCCGTTATTAGCTCTAAGTCCACCCTAATTGCCGGCGGTGCGCCGCCCCGCTGGGCACCGCCGGGCGCGCACGTGTGGACTCAGGAGGGGTCTGGAAACGCGAGCGGACACATTGTCAGCTGCCGCCGTCAGGTGCCCCCCCCCCCCCCCCAGCGGCGGGGGCGGCGTCGGCGCCAGCTGACTCGCAGCCCTACGCCGGCGGCTGCAGCTGCTTAACCTGATCCAGACGTTAGGAGCGGTAACCAATTCAATAACGGCCCGCTCGAGCTGCCAATCAGCGCCTATTGAAGCGCGCCGCCGCCGGCAAATGGCGCAAAGTGCCCGCCAATGATGTGATAAAGATCTGAAAACCGGGCCGACGCCGGGAACGTGCTGCGACAGCGCGCGGCGCGCTCGGCGCCGGGCGCCGAACAATCGCCGCCGCCGCTGCCGCTGCATGGGCGGCTCTGCTCTATCAAACTTTGCCTCCCGACGCGGGCGACGCGCCACGGCCGCGTCGACGTCTGTGGCCGGGGCGACCACGGCCGCGGCAAGACAGATCGACTGGAACTGATGCCCTCAAAGACGATGATGGACGGTTGCTGAAAGGGCTGTCTGAGAAGCTGATTGTATAGTTATCTAGTTATGCAATTTTCAGCTTGATTAGAACGGTGTGACCCTAACTTTCTCCGACCGAACGGCGAATCCTCTTCTTCCCGCTAACCACATGGAACAGAGGTATTTTCCAGGTCGTCAAAGAAGGAACATCTATATTCCTACCTGCATACTGGATTTCAGCAGGTACTTTTGTGTGGCCGACCACATCAAACGGACTCGATTAACTTCACCGGATCGACATTTCTTGGTTTGCTGCAAATAACCGCAGCCACACCCACAGTGTCAGCTACACTGACACTATGAAAGCCTGAAATATCAGAACCGCTGCCCAAGAGCGTCGTAGTTTTCCAGGGACCCGACCATCTGCTCTTCTGCGTCTGCCCAACAACCTCAGCCTACGTGCCACAGGTGCAGTAGGCCGACACTCAACTTTTGGTCAGTGATGAAATGTTTTGTTTCCAAAACGTTATTGCTACGGTGTGGCATGCTGTGGCTTCCCTTGACGTAAGGTTTCGAGCAAGTCGAATGAATGTACTCGTAAATGAAAACCTGACTGATGATGCTTGGCAAAGCACAGTGTATGCAAAATGCCCCTAACTTCAGGTCAAATTATGCGATATTTTCCCCATGTCCCGAAAACACAATCGTGTTGTTTTGGTTGGGTCTGTTTATTTGGTGCCTGTTTTACTGCTGACAAGCTCAAAATAGCACCATAACCCCCTTTTACAACAACCTTTTAGACTTTGTCAAGCCGTAGGTCACCACACTCCTGACTTACATGCTGCATGCTTGTTGGTCTGCAGCATATTGACTACGGCACGTCGCATGGTCTGCTTTTTATTGCATTTCGGGATGAGAGTCGGCGTTATTTATCGCGGCAATCGGCGTTTTTTTTATCACGGCAACAGCAGAAACGCAAAGGTTGGCGTCTGCTGTTCCATGGGTTACCAAACATTAAGTCCACACCCCCCATGCTTGATCACATTCAGTCAATCGGCTACAGCGTGTTGATGCGCATGTTTTATTGCGATCAGGAAGACCAAATACGGATTTTTAGCGTGTCTCCTGACCAGCGTGTTATAATGGTCATGACTCTCATGTTTCACCTACTTGATTCCCTCCGGTGAGCCGAAAAGCTAACTTTTCGTTGTAATCAGATTTGGATAATTGTTAAGAGTGTTGTGTATCAACTGGAAAAAATCACAAATCTTGGCTTTTGCTGACCGCTGGGTCAAAACAAAGATTCCACACCTTCCTTGTTCCTTCGCCTCCGGCCAACCGACGACGACGTGTTGGTTGGTATACTTTGCGTTATGGTCCGAGTTCGGGTTGCCTGGCATGTAAGTAGGCAACAATGGACTATTTTGACCTTGTTTACCCGTCAATGACAACGTTAGTACCCGACATGATCCCTACTTATTTGGCTCCTGCGTAGCAGCTAATAGACTACCGCGCGCCAAATGACATCCTTTTTGGAAATCGTGCACGGACCGGTGATTTTGGGCCTGTCAGCGTTTTCACGTGAGCGTGCTGACAGTTATGACCTCTTTAAAAGAGAGATACTCTATCTCCCAATGATTTCGGTGAGAATGTAGATTGAAGAGTGTCTAGCTACGAAGATTGAAAGGTTGCAGCGGTAGCCGGACAGAAAATGTATACTTGGAGGCAAGCTTGACAGTTGTATTTGCTCCTTTTAAGGCGTGAGGACGAAGATTGCGTTTCTGAGAGCGGAGGGTCATGCTGCCGACACTGAAATTGGCGGCAGCCAGCAATGGGGCGACAGTGAACGCGGATGATCAGGGGGGCCAGATTTGTTGCACGTCATCGCGTACCGTCGTATTGAGCCCCAGCTAATACCAATGCGGTGACCACATTACCGCCAGGACCATGGCATAGCCGGGACCCGAGCCCAGGTCGCCACGTGGAAGCCTTAGGCGATAACCGCTCTAGTTGCGGGCGACCAGACTCTAGTATATCAAAGTTAGAACTCGAGTAAAAGGAAGAGCAAGACTGACAGACCGTCTGTAAACCATTTGATCTTGGTAGGTATCTGAAGTCAGCTATAAAAATATAATGATTGAAGGAGTGTTGATGGTCGCTGGTTTGCCATGCAAAAAAGTGCGGCGGGTTTGTGAGCACGCTAGTGTTAAGCGAATGAGCATGGATACCAGTCGATTAGACTTCAACGGCAGCCTCGACGCACGAACATCGTTCGCCCTGTTTTGTTTTGTATTGCAGAAAACATCGCGTTTGCACCAGCAAGGAGAGTCAGTTTGATCACAGGTGTCAGCACGAACGTAACGTAAGAGCACTCTTTCATATCTACGTGTATTATTTATGACTAGAAATAGTTCACATTAAGCTGAGGTCGGCTCAGGTTTCGACACATCCGACAAAACGACAATATCACCTTAAACTTATATAGATGCAGCCGCAGAGAGATCTGAAAACAGCGTTTCTTTCATTTACGGTGAAAAAGTACACTGTTAACAACTCGGATGGGGGCGACCTCTGGCTCACATGCAGCTTCCGAACACCAAGAGCGAATCCTGTCCTTGTGACATACACCACACAAAGCGAGGATTGTACGGATGTACCAGAGCAGGCTCGTCAAGATGGTGGCTTCAAACTCAATTGAAGGCGTACAAAGTACTTTAATTATGCTCACTTATTTTCCCGCTTAAAAATCTCGAGCTGCTTCAAGTAGCGAAGACTCCACAAAAATGATTGAAATCTCCATTGTACTACACGTCCTTTGAGTATAATGTCTGCTTCGCAATATGAGACTCTCAGCTATTTTTCTCGTGTGACTGCGTCATCGGACGTGAATTGTCTTTTTAGACTCATTATTATCTCGAATTTCGAATTATCTCGAGGAATGCAGACCAGTGCATGTCCTACACCCGTGCAAAATAATAACAACACTGTTACAAGCGATCTCGCGTTGCTGAGAGCCAAGTCTGGAGCCATGTGAGGCTTACAACATTCCTTAATCCGCGCCGTCAGAACCCCTGCGGACCGATCCCGAACTCTCCGTTCAGCTCGTGACGTCAACTTGCGGCGAAAGGCTGACTGAACACAAACACCGGCCAGGCACCGCCCTGCCACACGTAAATTAACTGAAGAACGGTCTCCTCACGTGGACCGGTCAGTGACATGACCCCAGTCAACAGACGGTCCCGAGTCCGGGGCGGACGGGCCCGCGCCGCGCGCCGCACAGAGCCGGTAGAAAAACACCCGGTAGTGTACACGCGACGCACACTGCATACAGAGTATGTACGGAGTTCCCGCAGGTCTGTCCCCGCGCAGCGAAACGGCGAGTATTGCACGACCACCAGCACCAGACGACCAGCTAGTGGAAGCCGTGGTGGCTGTCCTCGGTGACGTTGACGTCCTCGTCGCTGTCGTCCCTGTCCCCCTCGTCGTCGTCGTCGTCGTGACGCCGGTCGCCCTGACCGGACTGGAGGTGCGTTGGCGGGGACCCGCTGCTGCTCAGGTCTGTCCCAGGGGAATCGGCCGGGTCAGGCAGCGGCAGACCGGCCGCACGGCGGTGGCGCTTGGGGGGGGGGGGGGGCTGGGGTTAATGGGAGGGATGCCTCCGGCACACGCCAGCTCGCGGGCAGCTGCAGTTGTGCTCTCGGCTGGCCTAGGCTACATCTGAGGTGACAGTGAAACTAGGCTCGACTTGCAGTATACAATAAGCACACTGCATATCTAAGGCTCTGCGTGGTGACGTGCGCCACAATCAAACCTCATTGCCTGGCGTAATTGGCAATGGACATCATTTGGGCATGCTGCTGTCGCAGACAGGCGCAAGGAGTCGGCTGGGCCCAATGAAATTGAAAGAGTAGTGATGTGTGGTTTAGTGCAATGGGCCGAGCTCCGCAAGTAAAATGCATAAGGTCAGCGTGTTGGCAGCGGTGGAGACCTCATAGGTCAGTGGCGAAGGGTCGATGTGGGATAAACAAACTCATCCCTAGTTCGAAAGCCCAGCGATTATTTTTCTCCCGGCGTTGAAGGTTTCCGAATGCTCCCATTTTCATCTGGTGCGAAGGCACCGGTAATTACAACTATTACACGCATCAATAAATGAGCAAACAACAACACTGCTACTCTCCGTTTGCTCATTGCGTTTGGTGTGATGGATATACACGGAAGTCTGGCGCTGCGAGGGGTTTCCACACTTCGATTTGGTCTGATGTGCAGCGAACTCACAGAGGTCCAGTTGCGTGTCTGGCTGCCCGGAGCCCGTCACCTTGTCGTCCGAGCGACGAAGCTGCTTCTTGTATTTCATCCGCCGATTCTGGAACCACGTCTTCACCTGGCCATTGGAGGAAACTTCATTCACACGCACATACACACACACACACACACATACATACACACACACACACACACACACACACACACACACACACACACACACACACACACACACACACACACACACACCACACACACACACACACACACACATATTCAGGAGGCTTGCCTCATGAGGCAGACACGCATTTTCAAACAGCATCACTCGAATTTGCTGCTACCGAGCGCGACTTGCGTCTGCGCCAGACTAAGGCAACTGACCTGCGTCTCTGTCAAACTGAAGTCACTGGCCTGCGTCTCTGTCAGACCGAGGCGACTGACCTGCGTCTCTGTCAGACCGAGGCGAAGGATCTGCGTCTCTGTCAGACTGAGGCGACTGACCTGCGTCTCTGTCAGACTGAGGCGACTGACCTGCCTCTCTGTCAGACTGAGGCGACTGACCTGCGTCTCTGTCAGACTGAGGCGAGGGATCTGCGTCTCTGTCAGACTGAGGCAACTGACCTTCGTTTCTGTCAGACCGAGGCGACTGACCTGCCTCTCTGTCAGATCGAGGCGACTGACCTGCGTCTCTGTCAGACCGAGGCGACTGACCTGCGTCTCTGTCAGACTGAGAGCGGCAGCCAGCTCGACTCTCTCGGGCGTGCTCAGGTAGCGCTGGGACTTGAAGCGTAACTCCAGTCCGTGCAGCTGCTGGTCGGAGAACACGGTGCGCGCCTTGCGGCGCCGACAGACGCGGCCCACGTCCGTCGAGAAGTACGTGGAGAAGGGCAGTCCTGGCGGTCACGGAGCAAGTCAGTGGAGAGAGGGACGGAGAGAGGGAGGGAGGGAGGAAGGTACATATACACACGCACACACACACGCATGGACGCACACACACACACACACACACACACACACACACACACACACACACACACACATATATATATATATATATATATATATATATATATATATATATATATATATATATATATATATTCGTGTATTTAGGCAGTACGCTTTTATTACTGGAAGCTTGTACCCAAGAGCAATTGTACATTTAATTAATGATTAATGATTAAATGTACATTTGCCCGAGCGTAATACAAAACTTGCATATATATATATATATATATATATATATATATATATATATATATATATATATATATATACCAGATGGGGTTTCGTTACGTTCAGGTCATTCAGCTTGAGCCAAGACTGATCAATACCTGAATATGAAATCCAAGAGCGAGGTGAGATGCGAGAAAGTGCTGCTTTCGTCCAGGGTCTTTAATCACCGAGATATCCTGCATAAGAGCCCTACTCCCGGCTGTGAGTGCACACATGGACAGAACTGCCAGGCAGGGTGGCTGTGGGGCTGACTCACGACTGACGGCAGGGCCGTTGACATCAAGCGAGCAAAAGCGACTGCGTATAAAGTTAGAGCTGCCCCCACTGACCAGCTAGTTTGCTCTCCATCACAGCTGTGAATTGTAGTCCCGCTGTAGCCCGCTGTAGTGCTGGCATATCTTCCTTTTATGTTTTTTTTTCGTTGAACACAATCATATGGTGGTCTTTATTCAGTGATAAATCGAAATATGAGATCATGGTTGTCCTTGGAAGTCGCCACAAGAGCACAGATACAAAAAGCTTCTCGGAAATAGTCCACTTATGTTCTGGTTTCTGGCCATCCATTAGAAGTATATATATATATATATATATATATATATATATATATATATATATATATATATATATATATATATATATATATACTTCTAATGGATGGCCAGAAACCAGAACATAAGTGGACTATTTCCGAGAAGCTTTTTGTATATATATATATATTTGTATATATATATATATATATATATATATATATATATATTAACCACACTCATCACATATGTTTGTAAGCATATGTACGTAGCCGCGGCAATCACGTATGGAAGGCTGGCAGTTTGCATCCGCTTCCTATAAACGTACTTGTTTTGTGAACCTGAAGGGGTGTAATTGCACGTCCCTCTTGCAGGCTGAGATGTGAAATATATACACCATGTACCATTCTACGCGTCTGTGGTTGTCTGGTGTATATATTTGTGTATTAACAAGGATGGTGTACACAATAAATCTGGCTTTGCATCCCGTTTATATAAAGCTTTTTGGCATTCCAAAAATGCCATCGATAAACCACATGTATTTCAACTAGTGTAGAACAAAACACAAGCACTCCGCAACACATATTTCAGGAAATGGTTCTCAACCTTTCCTCAAATCGCTTAGAAACATGCGCTGTTCTGGAAAATATTTTTTTCTGAGCTCACTTCATCAAACACGTTTTGCGAGCCTGCTGCTATTCAGGGAGACAGTTCTGAGACGTTGTGCCATTGAGGAGAAAGCGGCTCTAACCCGCTTCAGTTCAAATGTATGGTGAATAAAAGGATCAAAATGCCAGCGTTACACGGAACACAGATCGACTGTGAAAGCGCTGCTAGTCGAGCTGGTTTCTCAGTGACTATGCTCGTCTGCGAAGGTTCAACCTTTGTTCATGACCCAGAAGTGGGAGAATTACCTGACACAGCTTTCACCGCGAGAGCTCTCAAGCCTCGGAGCAAAAAAAAAACAACAACAAAAACCCGGTGCCCGGGTTTGCAGACTCTGTAGGCCGCGTGGTGTCGGCCACCTTGCTAATATTAGGCGGCGGTCGGTAAGCGGATGGAAACGGCAGCGTCACGAAAGAAGCGCCTTTGAACGCCATAGGATGTAAATTCGAGCCTGCAGAACGTAGTCCGGGGCATGCTTCACTCGCGTAGTTTATATATGTATATATATATATATAGTATATATATATATATATATATATACATATATACATACTATATATATATATATAGGATATATATAGTATATATATATATATACATATATATATATATACTATATATATATATAGGATATATATAGTATATATATATACTATATACTATATATATATGTAGTATATAGTATATATATAGTATATATATAATATATATATACTATATATATAGTAGATATATATATAGTATATATATATATATATATATATATATATATATGTATGTATGAAAGGAACAAGTTAGCCTTTACAGCACCGTGAGCCGGTGCCGGACTTGGGCGGAGGAACTAGACAAATAAACACAAAATCTCTCTTTCCTTGTTGCTGGCGCTTTTTATCTGCTCGGGGGGCACCTTGAGAATTTTACATGCGAAATTTACTGCCCAGTCCAATTTTTTATTCGTACGAATACATTTCGATGGGCTTTCGAGGGGATCATTTCACGACGGCTGCTCTCGTGCGTCAGGCGCCCGCCGCCCGGTGTTGGCCCGCCGACGCCGCCCGGTTTGTTGGAAACTGCAATTTAGTCGCGAATCCGTCACGTGTCACGCCCGTTAAGCCTCGACCGTAGGGGTGTAGTTCCGCAAAATAGACTAGGGGGCTGGGCAGGGAAGCCCTAGCTCTAATTACACTAAAAATAGGTTTTTGCTCGGATTCGACCCACTTTATCTCTCAGCGTAATGGAGTTTGATTACCACCCAACTGAGTAGGAAACTATAGCGTTACCCAAATATGTTCCCTTCGGTCTGCCTCGCATTGGAGATTGGCACATTTCAGGGGTTCTTTCGAGCGTTGCCGGCTCCAAATTTGCTCACTTCTCTGGTTTTCGACATTTCACCGGCTTGTTTTCCATTTCCGACAAGACATCGCATCGTATCGTGGTAAAATAACGCAACTCGCTGCAGTCTGTAGGTGTCTAAACGCCATTGAATAATGTTAAAGCACTCAGACAATCGCGCAAAACAACATCGGAGCCAACAGCACGTATAAGTCTGCAATTAAAACGAAAAACCATGCGAGGGAAAGCCGAAAATACTCAAGTAAACACGGTACGAGCTCGAAGCTCTTACAGTAAGACGAGCTCAGTCAGCTGTGCTCAGCTGAAAATGACACCGCATATTTCATTTTCTTTGTCCTTTTACATGTGAAACAATTATCAAAAAACTTCTGTAAAATTGATATAATATTGGTTTCCCATTTATACTGTCCTACTGTCCTTTGACTCTGGAACTGGATTGGCTGCCTTGAGGGGGGGGGGGCAAACTCATCGTTGGGGGAGGCCGCAAATCGGATATTGTGGGCGGGGGGGGGGGGAGGGCAGTGGCCTACACAAATGAATGCAAATCGACACTCGTGCCTGGGATAGGACTAGCTGAATCTGTGTCTTGGATCTGTCATGTCGGATCCAAGATATAGATGTCCTGCAACAGGCCCTGGCTGACGGCCATAGTATGTGACATGTGATAGGTAGTAAGATGCGTCGCAAGGATGCAGGATGAGCAAAGGAATCAGAAGGGGCGGGTAAATTACAGCTGTGGTATTCGGCCCCGCTCAGATATTAGCGCACTCATTCGCTATTGCTGGGAGAGACACGCCCATGGGATCAGGCCGCCGTCTTTCTCACACCCGTAAAGAACGCCAACATGGAGAGCGCGTGTTCCGCGTCACTGCGGCGTACCCGTGCGACTCTGTCGCGCGGCCGTACTTGGCCCGTGGGCGCACAGAGCGCCGCGACTTGCGCACCTACCTGCTGAGAAGCCGGGCGGTCCGGAGAAGAGGAAGCCGGCGGCGGCCTCCTGCTTGTGCAGGTAGTGCGGCAGGTAGGCGGCGGCGGCGGCCGCCATGCTGGCGCCGACGGCGGCCGCCGGGAAGAGCGCCACGCCCGGGGGCTCTGGCAGACCGCGCGGCTCCGCGTACCGCTCCTCCGAGCCGTCCGGGGACCGGGCCGCGTCCGAATCGTACTGCGGCCAGGTCATAGGTCACAGGTCAACGTCAGAAGACAGGAGTGACCACCATTCGATCAAGGGGTAGTTGTTACATTGGTGGAAATGGCTTTAAAAGAAGGAATTTTAACAGGAATATCACAGCATATTTCCTGACATAAGTCGGTAAGTGCTGCTTGACAATAGCGCTATAGACGAGTATGATAGCACAAATGAATTTGTAGCATTTAGACACGCAGATGCATGAAACTGGCCATACCTTAGATGCATCCGAGCTCACATTTTTAATAAGCAACCACACCATGGTAATATATAACTGAGCCCGTACGTGTACATCGGCCTGAGAACGTTTGCTACGTACCGAGTCTCCCTTCCCTAAGATGTCCTCGATGAGAAATGATTTCGGTTTCTGGAAGGAGTATTTGCCGGCAGCCTTGAACGACTTCATGACTAGACCTGGACGCAGCGGCAGTTAGCCGATTCTGTGAAGCAAGTTTGGAATGAATGAGTATCATCACATTCAGCCCAGCATGAAAGAGGCCCGTCTGACATCTCTGCGCTCCTTCTTAATCCATGCGGCTTTGGTGCTAATAAGAACAATACACATTCGTGTATATATATATATATATATATATATATATATATATATATCAGGAGCAAAAGTAATTCACTTATTTTCATCGTGACTCCAGTCTCCTGTAGGACCACATTTGTATCAACATTTTACATGGCGCATTGGTGCTATTCCCTATACGCGTTAAATATAACCATACGGTTGTAGTAAACGCGCATCTGGGTGGCCGGTTGGATACCCTTCGCTCGCGTGGGGGTCAATGTGCCCCTTCCCCTCCTAAGATCTCAGGAACTAAGAGAGCTAGAGACACTAAATTCACAGAGCGTATTGATCTGTGCGTAAACTCACTTAGTTCAAAGTTTGAAGTTTGTACGTCATGACCTTCGTGTCGAGTAAGGTCAAGCAAGGTCAAACTCCGGGTTGGTCTCCAAAGTGCCCCCAGAACAAAGATACATGCTATAAGCAAAAGGGTACATGTTCATGTAAGGTCAGTGACCTTGTTTGACCTTTTGAAGGGCATGGTGATCAGAGTCATACAAGACTGCTCTGAGTTTTGCATTTGAATAAACAGCAAAGAATACGCTAGGCAGTACGCTCCTAAAAACAAAATTTTAACCTGGATTATTATAGGTCAGTGACCTTTTCTGACCTTAAGGAAGTCGAAGGACGATGCGTAATGTGGTTCCTGCTACAAATAAATTTGAAATAAACACCAAAAGCTACCCCATGCAGCAAGCTCTAAAGTAATAAAGCTTGCGGTTTTTGCCCTTAGTCTGACTCTCATACCTGACCCTAAATCAATGTAATATGTTCGTCGATTGTTTTGTTTCCTGAGAAAGCATCTCAGAGATGTATGGCTTCGTGTAACACTCAGTTGTTGCATCGGATTGAACGACTCCCTAGAAACTGACTTCGCTTAATCAATGGCCTGGCTTTGACCAGCCGTAGGTCAACGACCTTTTTTGATACCAAACGACCCGCTATTTAAATGTCTACAGCTATGCGAAACTTCACGCGGCCTTGCGTTTGAAAACCATTTGGAAAAACCTTCGGGGGTGCAATTTGACCCCAACCCCGAGCGCGTGTCAATAGTCATCAAGGAGTGCATGAACCACACTGACATCTGCCTACGGTACAAGACGAACGTCCATCGAATAACGGCCAAGTTTAGAACCCAGTCATATACGTTGGAAAGCCACCGGAGACTCGGCTGGGGTATTGACGGCCGGTCGATGAAATTAGTCCGTCCGGCTCCAAGGGGCAATTAAGTTGATAATAACAAGTAATGGCTGCTTACGACGAACGATGGATAATCGATTACCGTATCCCATGTAATATCACTAACACGATTTGGACGTCCTCCCGTTGGGGCAACGGTCGGTAGTGGCTGCAGCCGGCGCCCGATCATTCAGAGACCGGTGCGAATGCTCCCGGATTTTGAGCGCGCCGCTGATTGAAAGTCTTGATTGCGGCGTCAGTGCGTTGATTTGCGATTGTCTCGAATGGTGGTAAAATGAAGCGAGCCCGGAAGCCGAGTCGAGTCGAGTTTAGATGGTTTTAGCATCAGTCAGGTGACGGCACACCCGAAAACAGTCGGCATCCTGACAAATGTGAATGCGTGTCGATGTTCGGGAATTTACCGGACTGCTGGATATTACCGATCTGAGAATTACTTAAGCCTGCATAATTAGCGACCGTCCAACTGTTTATACAAGAGGTTCCTGGCCACAGCCTTCATCACCCGACCACGCTCATTAGCAAATTGGTCTTGGCATCCTCGCCGCCCTCCCCCTCACCACATATACTGCGCCGCGGTATATACATGTAATGCGGCGCATTCTAGCTGCTTGCCCCGGAAATCCCAACTGTGTGTGACGGTACGAAGTTGCCAATGATCGGTTAACCACCTCCGCAAACACGAAATCTGCTATTTTGCTCCGTGCGGGCTCCTGGAACGGCGTTAGGTTTTCAAGAACTTTGACGTAGGGGCTCAACATGGAAGGCACAGATCTTGGAGAAAATTGGCGTCGCTTGCGCATATGCAAGGGATGGGGGGCATCACAAGAAGCCGTTTCATAAGCAGTGTGTTTTATGGTACTTATTTTGTACTGTTGTTTTATTTTACGCTAAGATACATCTTGATGCGATGAATCGCGAAATCTCACCTCGGAAGCAGATGACACTTTTTTGAAATATAGTTTTCCTGGAAATCTGTCCCTATATAAGATAAACGATTTTTCTGTTCAATAGATATAGAAAATAACCGTACCCAATATTGTAGAAAATTTGCTCTGGTTCAAGTTAAGAAGTCTAACCACATTGCATTCCGGCTCCCGGCTTGGTTAAATGTCGCCATACTTCAAGCAGGATGATAGTACTTAACCTACCTTTTAAAACATAAACAACTTGACAACTTGACACCGCTGTATCTGTCCAACATCCTTACCGGCTGACTCCGTCCTTGGCTGCACACTTTTACGCCTAAAGATTATTATCTTCTTAAAGAGAAGGCACCAAACGTTTAACGATGATTGTGATAACTATATGGCTGCCTAATATTTCCCGAAAGTGAGGAAAAATGCCCGTTACAGTTTCAGAGATCCAATAGTCTTTGATCGTACAGCATATTCGTGCATGCAATTTTCATCGAATAAGTTCATTTTACTTTTGGCAGGTTTTAATAATATCTCCATGTAAGAGAGCATCGTTTCTGTAAGATATTCAGTTGAAATCATATGACAGCAAGCTGGTGCCCTTATTTCTCTTGTGTCCGACATTGACAACTTCATTGCATCGCACACAACCTGAATGTGATCAGTCTTGATTCAAAAGAGACTATTAAGATCTACGTTTGTCAAATTTCAGGGGTATTGCAAAACGAGGTGGATACGACTGGAAACGAGCTTTTGCTAAATTAGCCGTAATTGCATGTAGCACACCTCCAAAGAACTGTTTCTGGTTTCGCCTCTGTGCAACAAGCTGGTGAGCCTTTGATTTAATGTAACGCGCCTACCAACAAATAGTTCCTAAAGCTGGCTCAGAGGAATGCAAGGAGCTTAAAGTTTGACGGCCTGTGTGAAATTTGCCATCTCAAAAAAGTCGCCCAATTTCAGAACACTTCCTCCAATTGTTCGGATACTGCGACAAAAACACTAAGAATTCGGGGTAAATTCCCCCTTCTTAAGAAAGAAGTGGTTGGCGTGCCTGCATCTACGCCACTTTTGGACTATCATGTTTTTTTGGCTTACCTCCCAGAGAATAACGCAGCCTGAAATAGCGCACCAGCGAACTGAAATTGCCATTGCGCCTGTGCAAGTGGCTGTGCAGGCAGTTGGCCAATGATTTCCTCGGACGATGCCAATCCTTCTCAACGGAATCCTGAGACTTTGAAACAAACGCATGCAAAGTCGTCTGGAATCTAGTGTAAGCTCCTTGGCGCAAGGCGTGGGGGTGGATGGGGGGGGGACAAGGATCCTTGTCCCTCCTTTTGGCTACGCCCCTTTGGCTCCACCAAATCTGTCGACAAGGTTATGCCGGGCTATGACAAATTGACGTCATTAGTGCTATCGTAGTTGTTTAATATGCAGGGTACTCCAGGTTGGAAGGAGAAAATCAAGCCGTGGCAAGAAATTCATTCTTGCCACGGCTTAATACGTGATGATCATCGAAGATTGTGATCATGCAATGCATGAGTAGTAATTATAGGTCAATTCAAGTCGCCATTTGTCAGATCATCATGTGTCAATAGTATCATTTACTGTCTCTGTGTTTTGGGCGTCGGCATTCAGCAAAACCGTGTTCTGTGTATTTCCAAGTTCGCGTGTCCTCATATGAGTTATAGAAGCACGGACGCACAGTTAATATGCACGTAATCCAAAACTAATTATGTGTTATGGGATGTATCAGAC